GGCCCGACTCACAGGGTACTATGGCTCTTTACCTTAACAAGGGTGATGGTAGTGATGACCTCTTGGGTCTGTCTTGCCGTCACGTCCTCATTGGAAACCAGGAGGCCAATGTTGATTATATTGGCCACCCCAGCAGCCCTTCTAAAGATGTTCTTTTTCTTGGAAATACAGCCTATAAAGACATCATTGAGGCGACTGAAGCCAGTATTTCTAATTATACCCACGCGGCTCAGTACTCCAAAAATACGATCAAAGGGTCGGGAAAGGATGCCAACACCGTTCATGACGAGACCAAGGCGAATCAGTCAGATGTTGGGAGCTCCCTGGCTGAGACGGAGAAGGTGTTGAAGGCATTGAGAGCATTGAATAATCAGGTCAAGAACCATTGGAGAACACTAGACAGTCGTGTTCTTGGCCAAATCGTCTACTCCCCAGCCCTCCGCTTCGGCGTCGGCGAACATCGCTTCACGGAGGACTGGGGACTTTTCAGTATCGAACGCACCAAGCTTGGCGCCGGATTTTCCGGCAACAAAATAGATCTCGGTGTGTTTTGACTATCTGACTAATGCAATCTACTAATTCAGACCTAGGAACAAACTCAAGCAAGTTTAAGGATCGCTGTTTTCCTCGGATAGATGCCACCTGGGATTACCGATGTCCTGAAGGGCGTCTGCTTCCCCTGCAAGGCGTCATTCCTAACAGCTTGATGCAACACCCTGACATGTGGGACTCGGATCGTGAACCATGCTTGTTGGTCGTCAAGAATGGACATGCCACTGGTACCACCATGGGCCGCGCAAACGGCCCTCTTTCGGTTGTCCGTACTTATACCTTAGACATCTCGACCCATCATACCTCCATGGAGTGGGGGATCTTAAACTATGATAGCAAGTCTGAACCTTTTCGAAGCGCGGTGACTCGGGTTCAATAATTGCCGACATCCGTGGCCGTATTGGGGGTATGCTTACTGGGGGTGCTGGCCGTACGCCTAGCTCTGACTTGACCTATGCCACGCCGTTCTGGTGGCTCCTTGAGCGTATCAAGGCCACCAATAGGTTCTCCCAAGTGCACCTTGGCGTTGATGCCTAGGTACTTGAACGAGGACACAACTACATATCCTTATCGAGTAAATTATGTATAACAAACTATCAACAATATTACTGTAATGTACATTTCAATGACTAGGAGGGGGGAAGCCCAGTTGACGGTTTCGATATTGATGGAAAAACAACACTTATTCTATTGGGCAAAAAATATTATTTTGTCTATACAAGCGATCGAATACAGGTGAGCACGAGGAGCCTACGGCAAAGATACATAGAGTAATTCCAGTGAGAGAAGGGTCGTCGACCAGAGGTTTGATTCCTACTAGTGCTTCATACACCTCTTCACCTTCTTCATCCTCCATTCCTCCCTTTTCGCATAAGAGGAAGGCCAGAGAACTGGACCAGGATCAACGAAGGTCATGCCATTATCTTCGTAGACGTTGTATCTAGCGAAAGCACCACTTGTTGCGTATAAGCTATCGAAAGAAGAACAGGAATAGCTCAGAAAATTCATTTTTTAAAATATGAATGAGCAGCGAAGACTTACGATCCTGCTCTCGTTCCCCCGGGCAGTTTCGTGTTACCACCATTTATAACATTGATCTGAATGCAACCAATATATAGCTGAGTGCCAGAGGTATCATCTTGAGCATTCCAAGGATTGTGAATCGCTCCCACCTAGAACCAGAAAGTTGTGAGGACTTATCCACATCTACAAGGACACCTACTTCTTGGCGAATGATATATTGTCCATTGGCAAGACCTTTCGGTATGGTGACAGTCCAGGAGGAACTGGCCTCAACTAGGATACGAGAATCAAGGCGACTTAATTCTATGTTCTCGATAAAGGACGGAATCAAAACCTACTAAACCGAGCCATGCCCCAAAGACCGCTAGTTCCAGGCGTGGGGTAGTATTCTTCAGGCTTGTTCTTCATCGTCTCGCGTAGATCACTTGATATAGTTTCCGATTTATCAATTCCGAACATAGCGAGCTTAACCCAGGAGCCTTGAGAGGCATCATAGGTCGTGCAGTCATCGTTGGTGCATTTAGCGATGTAGGACGCCATGGTACCCATCCTTCGTGAATCCAACAACAGGCGTTAAGACACATTGACCGAACAGGGGAACTCAATACTAACGCGTGGACCCAAGGGTTTTGACCTGCCGGAACGTTCCCAGTCCCTGGCTTGCCATCGAGCTCGCTGGTCGCTCCAACCCAGTCGACCCTCAAATCACTGCCTGCAGAGACGTTGATGATTTTAGGTGCACCTGCAGCACCTTCGCAAGCCATTTTACTGTCATCAGAATGAGGGTAACATAGTAAGGATTAGTTCTTAATCAGAGACGACTCGACCGTACGAATTATCAGAGAAGTCCTGAGGGAGTACATAAGATGGGCCTGCAGCTTGGTACATTTTTCTAGTGGCGGTTTGTTCGTTCACGGGGTCAGCGTCCCAGTAAATCTTTCAGAAAAAATCGCCAGTCGTTAGAATATAGGGATGGATCAGAATTTGAGGAGCCTACGTTGGGACCGTCGTTGTAAATACCGTTCGCCAGTACGCCTTTGATTTGCCCGTGTGCATTGGCCTTATTAAGAGCGATAATCGACGCCAGTGTGAGTACACCAAAGTGAGAAGGCTTGTTGAAGGTGACCATGTCTGAGGTACAGTGGGTCAGAGAAAGTGGTGGGCTCGATACTGCTGCAGGACAGGCCTGGAAAGAGAGAATAAGACTGTAAAAGAGAGGAAACGAAGGAAACTGATAAGCCTACAGGTTTTTGTTATGTATTTATATTCATCAACGAAGCCATTCTGACCACATCTTCATCATGTCCGTGGAGGAGCCTGAGGATCCAAATTACAGTATCACCTCAAGAACAGCTTGAAAGAAGCTACGAGTACGTAAAGGAGGTTCTCGAATAAAGACTATAACCGATAGGACTTGCAAGTAACACTGAGCTGCGCAAGCAGCTCCTGTATCGTTACTATATGACTATACGCTAATGCCTACCTTGCATTATCAGCAGTGGTAGGTGGAGGCGGTCGGAGGAAGAGACATATATAGGTTCTGTCCGGTTAAGGTCTCCTTGGTAACAACGACGAGCGGGGCTTGAGGATGGAAGGTGAAGGGTGTCAGGAGAGGGGACGACTGACATCGGATCTTCTACCGTCTTCAATCGGAGAAGTCGGAAGTCGAAGAAAGGGACAGTAACAGACGGTAACCTTCGTCGACACAATGAACAGCCAGAGCCCAGAGTCAGCTACATAGGAGCTCCCAAAGCAACGCTTCTCGGAGCCGACCCTGCGCCGCAACTGCCACATGTCGGGGCAAGTAGATCGGTCTTGAGCAGGTCTTGAGTCTTCAGATCTGTCTCTTGAATTAATATTGCCACAAGATGATAGAAGATAATGTGTTGTTAACAGCAGGTTGTCGGATAATTTCCGCGGGAGGACTGGACTGTCTCTGAGACGCACATGGAGATAAGGATGTTCTATAGATGATGGATAAAGTAGTGTCTAATTGTAGTATAATGGCGAAAACAAGTGCATTCTGGAAGTTGAACTAAATCACCACCGATGAACCTCCGTTAGTGAACCTGATCTGAAAATGGGAAGGCAGCGACACACAGTGTTCTTTTAGTATATACAACGAATCATTGCTTGCATTCACGCGCTCTTTTTCCCAACTTCTGCTCCGAATCCAGCGACAGTCTCCAGCGATTGAGTCTTAGTCTGACGAGCGTTGGCCACACTAAGGTAAGTATCTGAAGAAAAGCTAACGTTACACGTGCAAGGGGATACGAGCCGAGAGACACGTACTCCAGAACAAACTGACAACACTGACAACGACGAATCGGAGATGGTGGGGTATAAGCGCGAAGTTGATGATTTGAGTTGGGACAAATACGCCCCAGTTGCGGATAATGGTAGGGACATAAGCCTAATTATGGGAAAGGATGAATGAGGTGGACACGTCGTAGGTTGTTCACGACTCACAGCCTGGATCCTCGGGATGGCTTCCTTGGGTTTACCCTCCAAGATGCTCATAGAGCCGAAAAAGAATCCGACCGCCGCTATGGGACAGTAAGTATAAAAAGGCGATTGGGAGTCAAAGAATATAAGTTCTCACCTGGCGTAAGCACGGCCTGATCGAGGAACACCTGAAAAGGTCAGAAAGCATGAGCGATTTTGTTGACTCGACGAGAACATCGAGTACACACCCGGTAAACGACTGCCTTGGTCGGGCTAGAGAATTTTATCGTGTTCAACCATTGGTACCATTTTGTCATAATCGGTCCAAAGAGGGCACCTGGTATCAAGGGGAAAATTCAAACTTGGAGCAGCAGCAGTGCACTGGCATGAGGGATATCACATACCACCGTAAAATGTCAATCTCGCGGTTCTTGCAAACTAAAAGGCATCCAGGAATGAGCATCAAAACGAAATGCACATATTTATTTTTGCCCAATATTTACAAAGAACAGATATAAGATAAATTGTGAAGCTCTAGGCAACTTACGTCGTGATTCTTTCCCTTTGCTTCAACGCCTTGCTGTGCAATAATATCACCAGCACCAAACAAGAACGCGGCGGTACAGCACTGAGTGAACATCGGCCTACGTTGCAGGGCTACACTGCAAATTTCCAAAGCAAGGAATCAGAGAACGTCAACAGTTAAAGTACGAAGATATACACACTTGTACATTCTAAGCATGGATGCCATTTTACGCGATGAGTAGAACGAGAGATTCCTGTGCTTTATAAATTCTCTGAATACTTCTGGATCGGGACAGAAAAAGTGTAAAAACACGTCAAGGAAAACGCTACGTGGTTGACTGCAGGAAAACTTCAGTGAATACAAGTGCAAAGTGGAGCCCCAACTAGTGGTCTGTGCGCATCATTTCTTGCGCGTAAAAGTCGGATACAATCTCTTTAACAGCTTCAAATTGTATGGGCGTATGGTCTAGAGGTATGATACCTGCTTTGGGGTCTTATGGAATCCTTTGCAGGGGGTCTTCGGTTCGAATCCGGATTCGCCCCATCCTTTTTTCCTCCCACTGGCTCCCGACTTACTTACGTTCGCTGAGAGTGGGCTTTTCCACTCATTAAAAAGTCTCACGAGAACATATGTTGTTTATGCAACGGTTAATTTCTACGTTCACAAGCAACGAACACAACGCCCAGATGACATTATCATGCACCAGCTAACATTTCCGGCGCTATCCTCTGCTCAACTAAATTCAACTTGTTCACCCAACCCTCCAACCTTTTCGCTAATCCACCAATTTGCTGTCGGGACAACACTCTCGGCTGGACCCAGGTGATTTGTGCTTTCTGGTCTACTTGGTCCATGGAACCGCGAATGAGTTTCAAACTGCGAGCACAGATACATTCAGTTTTGATCCGGTTTTTTGGCAAACAAGATCGAAGATCAGGAAGGATCGAGTCAAGAAACGGCGCTCACCTTAGAGCTTTCATAACCAGATGCTCCACTTCATCGATTGGTAGCCTTGTCTCCTCCGCAATAGTGGTAAAGTTCATTGTACGATTATCCGCACTTCGTTTGAATACAGACTCGATGAGCGCCATGAGACAGATTTTTTGTCGGAGGAAGGGATAATTTTCTTGAAGTATTGGCTGATCGTTCGAAGGAGGAGCAAGAGAGAACAGTAATGTCAATTATGCTGGCACGGATGAATGGAAAGAGATGCGTTTTTGCATACGCAAGAATGGGGAATCAATGAATGAAGTAAAACCTACCTCTTGAGGAAGCAGCGGCGCGAGGGCCTCAAACTTGCCAATACTACCCTCGTTGAAAGTAAAGAGCAGTCTCTTGATCCATTCAAATGGTGTCCCATCCAGAGCGTCGAGAATGGGATGCATGAGCTGGAATACAATTCATTGAGGGTCATGAAGAGGATACCGAAAGGATCGATCTCACCAATTCTCCGAAGTTATAGATCGTATCACCCAACAACGCGGAAATTCCTAGATCGTGCGCGCGTCCTAATCGCTCCTCTACTGTCATATCCGTGGCTGGGTCCACACATGCAAGGTAGAGGAGGGAGTTGCGATAGTAGGGCGCGTATTCTGCTTTGGCCTTGGGGGTATCAAAATTTTAGTTATTTAGATCGAAGTGAAGAAGCGAGCGCAGGCAAACTAGAGATGAACCTTGTAATAGTCGGCTGCAACACCGTAATACGCCGCATTCACTCCATTCTCGACACTCTCCACACTATCAAGGATCTTCCAGGCCTCGTCCATGTCGGCCTTGGTTCCCTCGAGGTCTCCATAAAGTAACTTAGCATGAGCGATATTGGCGTAAAGGAGAATGTATGCTTCTGGGGAGGTTTCCTTGTTGATCCGAGTGAGAAGAGAAGTCAGGAAGGTTAGGTGGGTTTGAGGGTCTGCAATTGAAGATACATAAGAAATATCGTGATAGCACTATCACGAAAACGCACTATCAATCTCCTTTGAGACCTTAACACCTAGCTCAACCAACCGAAGCTGGTTCATCTTCGATTCGAAATCGGTAACGAACCGCTCGAATACATCAACTCGAAATGGTTTCGACAATGGGTGTTCGACGAATGCGAACAGCTTGAGAGTTAGTTGATGCCATAGCCTGAGTTTGAGGATGAAGTTGAGTCTACGGTTTGTGAATCACGTATATTCAAGCTCACTTTCGCGTATGCAGCGTTCTAAAGGACTCAAAGAACGGATGTAGTTCTTGAGGTGTTGAGGATATTGCGGTTCCGATGAATTCATCAAGAACGAGTTTTGGAGCTGGTGGGTGTGCATCCACGGCCATTGAAGAAGTAGACATTTTCCACCAGAGAATGCGGAGTATATGAGAGAGATAATAATGCGATAGAAAACTCGCGACGCGTCACTGAGCAAGTAAACAAGACCAAACGACTGAGGTCAAAGCGTAGCTTTCTAATCGGTATGTTCAATATTGTTACTCAATGTTAGCCTTGAAGCTGGAAGCTTGGTCTGAAGCTTCCTGTGTGCATACAACCAATACTCTTTGTGCGCCACGAGAGTACATTTACAACTGCGACCAGTATTGGATTTATGAATGTGCAGTTGGGAAAGTCAGTGATCTAAATCTTCAAGTTTGTATCTACCATAGAAGGTTTATTTGCCTTCCCCCACCGTACTTGACTAATACTGCAATATACCCAGTCTCGCAAGCCAGAGTTCGCGACAAATGAAGAAAATTCGACCACCCATTGGAACTAACACTATACATGTCGAGGGCTCTTGGATTTCCGACCCTTGAACACGACTTGTACACATTGCATACACGAGGTTGTTGTTGGAGTTTTTTTCTGTTCATTTCTACTGCCGCAGGCCCTGCGCGAGCTCATTTGTATCTCCGCATAGCTGTAAAACTGTACAGTTCTACTTGCATTATGAATAAATACTCAGAAATGATCGAGTGTGAGACGTTTTCTTGATAGCCATAAATACCTCTTTCGGTAACCACCACTATCCACGGGAAATTCGGAAACAACGTGCTCAGTGACTTACCCTTCACCCAGCTCTTCATCTTGTCCAGCAGCCCAATTTTCAGCAACCACTATTCAATTTAGGCAACTCGATATTAAACTATCCGAACTTGGCAGATCTTTCTCGGACTTTGTGGAATCCGAGCCGTGAACAGTGATTATCTAGTCGACGTCAGAACTATTAGAGGATAATGACTACGACGGCGTCGACGGCAGTCACGCTTACCCAGGACTCGACGTCGTCCTCTTTGCCCAAATTCAAGGCACCCTCAGTCGAAACATTTTCATTCAAAGCACCCTTGTTACCCGCATCTTCCGTTGCAGCCGCTGGCTCTTCGAAACAAAGACGTGTCTCCCTTGCTCTGCCATCTTCGCCTCGAGTAGTGCCAACCTCCGCCTGGACTTTCCGTGACGACACTGGTCTCGAAGAGAAGAAGGGAAAGCTGCGGAAGATCGTCACTGACGGCGATGAAGAGTCTCATGAAAGGAAGCTCAGAAAGAAATGGTCCCAGGAAGAGACTCAAATGCTTGTAGATGGCTGTAATAGGGTGCGCGCATTAATTTTGCTTCATTTTCAGTTTATTGACAGGCTGTTCTCTAGCACGGAGTCGGAAATTGGAAGACTATTCTTAGTGATCCCACCTTGAAATTCGACAATAGATCTCCTGTGGACTTGAAGGACCGGTCTGTCCGAGCTTTACTACACTATGCAAATAAATTAATCTCATTTACAGCTTCCGTACATATTTCCCGGATGCCTACAAACAGCATTATCCCAATGCCCGCACACACCTTTCCACTAAAATACGCTCAACGCTTCCGGACGGTTCCTCTCTATTCGAAAAGACGCGGTCAAAGAAACGCCGACCCTTTACAGAGCAAGAGGACCGGGCATTAAAAGCTGGTTACGAGAAACATGGCACCGTCTGGGCAACGATCGTTAAAGACCCAATATTCCAAGAACAGAACCGACGCTCAACGGATTTACGAGATCGTTTCAGGAATGCATTCCCCGAACTTTATCAAGCTGCGGGTTACAAACCCCGGACGGCTGTGAAAAAGAAGATAGCCCCGACTGTTAGTAGTACGGCAGCGACGGCAGCTTCGACACCAGTCTTCACTTCAGGTCCCAGTACTCCTGCTACTTCACCAAAAAAGCAACTGATCCGTGCAGCGACCGATGATCAACTGGCAATGTCCACAACTGGTCCCGTCCGTATGCAGACCCGACGTCGTCGACGGAATACCTCCCAGGGCATCTTCCGTGGTGGAACGAAAAGCGTACCGCAGAGTAATGCTCCTTCTGAAGATGAAATGAGTTCCGGAGGGGAAGACGACGACGGGGTAGTTAAACCCATGCGTGTAACACGTTCTGTCAGCAATTCTCTCTCTTCTTCCAATCTTCTTGGCTGGGGTCATAAACCTTCGCCATCATCTTTTTCTTCATTTTCCTCTTCTCCTGTGACATCAACAACAGCTACGGACGACGAAGTTGATAACGTTGCCGAAGTCACTGATATGATGGATACTTCTCTTGGGGAGTATGGCTATGACTTTGCCGTACCTCAGAATAGCAATGGCGACGGTGACGCCGGGAATAGCCATGGCGGTCTTACCACGATGATTGGCAAGTCAGCCTGGGGGACACAGGACTGGTTCTCCCCCAATCCTCGATTGGACAATAGTACCAATCACCCTACCGGCGGCAACACTTCCTCGTCTTCCACTTTTATGGAGGGCGGAGTAGGAAACTTGTCACCGTCGTCCCCTTTCTCCACATTCAGCTCGCCCCCATCATTTTCTTTACAAACTCTGAATTCACTCAACTCTGATTTATTGAACCCAATGTCCAATGGGCTCCATAATTTCAATTTCGCAGGCAACAATGATTCTAACGAGCATAATGGACACGGCGTATTCGACCGGTACGATCTCGTTCCTCCGACTGCCTCTAACCTTTTTCACTCCTACTCCCACTCACACACGAACTCGTTCTCCTCTTCATCATCGTATACTCCTTACGCGTTTTCCTCTGACATCGGTCTCGGAGACGACTACGATTCGCGGTCGGCGTTCTCAGATGAGTGGGCCTCCTCAGGTGTGGGAGGTGGTGCAATGAGCAGCAGCATGAGCATGGATGGAGCTATAGGAATAGGCGGTCCCGGTGGAAGAGGGTTCACTCATCACTCTGATTATGCGGGTGATTTGATTTTCAGCGCGAGGACGCACCAGCCAGTGCAACCATTCGCACAACAGGGTCTCGGCTTGGGCCTTTCGGGAATGGGCATGCCAGATATCCCTCAAAGCTCAGGTATCCATCCTCTTCAACTGCACACGCATACCCCCGTATTATCTGCTTTACCTGGCATAGACGAGATTGAACTCACTGGGATCACATTGGAGGACTCGGTCATGACTGAATCCTCTCCGGATCTGGATGTTGGTATCATGGACATGTCGTCCCCGCCGTCGTCAGCTTCAAATACCCAACAGGATATGCTTCTACAACAGAGGCAGTCGCAACAA